TCCCAGAAATATAACCACATCATCTGCAAATATACATGGTTTTACCTCCTTCTTTCAAACTCAAGATTTATCAAATTGCTTTCCTATTATCTCTTGCTTTAGCTAATCCTCTCATACATTACCAAGTCACAGTTGCAAGAATGGGCAATTTTGCCTTGTTCCCTACTTTAGTGCGGAAGTAAGTTTCCATTAAATAAGATGCTGGCTGAAGAGATATTTATCAATTCCTATTTTTTTTTTTCTATTTCAAATTCTAAGAGAAAGTTTATTTAAAAAGTTAGAGGTAGTAGAATTGAGCTAGCTGGGTTATGTAGGCTCAGGAAACAAGTTAGAAAAGCAAAAGAAGGGCCCTTGGAGCTTAAGAGAGACAAAGGTAAAAGTAAAGAGCCTGGTGGGGAGCCGGAAGAAGAGAGGGAAGGAAAAGTCGGGGAGCACACCTCTATCTCTTACTGTTTTGTGGTGTTTTTAAATCCAGAATGCATGCTTAATTTTGTCAAATGTTCTTTCTGTGTTTATGAGGATGACGATGACTTTTCCTGATGTTATTACAAAAATTATATTGAACCATCCTGGCTTTCTTGGAATGAATCCCACTTGCATGTAATTTTTTTAAAACATGCTTTTGGATTCTATTTTACAAGCAAATTCTAGAGAAACTAGGAGGTGGAAGAGGATCCTTCAAGTGGGTGGCCATCATGTTTCAGGAATGCCTCCCTAAAGTGGGACCATCAAGGTCAGCAGTGTGGACAGTAGTGAGCTAGGTATTTTTTCTTTTTAAAGTATTTTTATTGATCTCAGAAAGGAAGGAAGAGGTAAAAAGAAACATCAACGATGAGAATCATGGATTTGCTGCTTCTTGCACACCCGGACATGTGCCCTTGACTGGAATTGAACTTGGGACTCTTTTTTAAAAAATATATATTTTATTGATTTTTTTTACAGAGAGGAAGGGAGAGGGATAGAGAGCTAGAAACATTGATGAGAGAGAAACATCGACCAGCTGCCTCCTGCACACCCCCTACTGGGGATGTGCCTGCAACCAATGTACATGCCCTTGACGGGAATCGAACCTGGGACCTTTCAGTCCGCAGACTCTATCCACTGAGCTAAACCGGTTTCCGCTGAACCTGGGTCTCGAATCTGCAGGCCAATGCTCTATCCACAGAACCAAACCAGCCAGTTGAGCTTGTTACTCTTGTACCTTCCCCAGTGAAAGTATGTGGGCAAGAAGAATGCAAGTGAAGACCACTTAAATCTTACCTAAAAAGGAATATTTCAATCTAAATACCCATTCATAGAAACTAGTTATTAAATTATGGTATACCCACACAGCATACTACAGTGGTTAAAAAGAATTATTCCCCTTATGTGTCAATATAGAATCAGCTGTAGTCATATTGAGTAAACTGGCAAATCAGTGTCTTCACTATTATATTAAAAGCGGAAAAAGAGTATCAGAACTGGACTTGTTTACACATTATACGCCTAAAATAGCTACAAAGGGAGACACAAAAAAACAGAATACTTGGTTGCTTCTAGGGAGGGTGAAACTGGGTGGCTGGGGACAGTGAGGTACACTTCACTTTTTCCTGTTAGTTTGGCATAGTAGCTTTGCCACTGTCCTACTTATCAAAAAAACAACCACCAACTAACCAACCAACAAAAAAAAAATCATGTAGGACAAAACCTTGAAACTAAAAAAAATATAAAGGTGGGCAGAAACCAGTTTGGCTCAGCGGATAGAGCGTCGGCCTGCCGACTGAAGGGTCCCGGATTCGATTCTGGTCAAGGACATGTACCTTGGTTGAAGGAACATCCCCAGTAGGGGGTGTGCAGGAGGCAGCTGATAGATGATTCTCTCTCATCTATGTTTCTAACTCTCTCTCCTCTCTTGTCCTCTCTGTAAAAAAAATCAATTAAAATATATTTATAATAAATAAATAAATAAAATAAAAAGGTGGAGCAGCAGGCAGATGTCTGTGAGTTGGCCATCCACCAGCACCTAGAGAAGCACTACATCCTGTGTGAGCCCTTCCTGACCCTCTACCAATAGAACCTGCTCCTAAAAGCCTCCCTGGCCTCCACTGTGCAGAGATCCTGCCTAAAATAGCACAGGAGCTACGCTACAGCCCCAAGTATCTCCAGGCCTGAGTCGATCCACATACATTGGGAAATGAAATTTCCTCTATTAAGCAGTACAGGTGCAGGCTATGGCCTCCCAGCTATGACATTTAAGGTCTAAATAGAATACTGGCCCCCAAACTGTAAATACATTTTAGAACATATCTACATGAGATTATGACAACTTGCCAACCACAGCTCAATTTAAAGCTATATAGATTCCTAAGGTGGAAAGTAGGGATAACTGCCCCGGCCAGTGTGGCTCAGCAGTTGAACATCCACCCAAGAACCAAGGTCGCTGGTTTGATTCTGGGTCAGAGCACATGCCAGGGTTGCAGGCTCGATTCCCAGTAGGGGTGCATGCAGAAGCACACAATTCCTATAGTTTGCAGTTATAAAAAGAGACCTTTGGTGATATTTCCATCACTGACTTAAGGTAGGAAAATGCAATGAGGCTAAAGGAAGGGAGAGCATCTCTATATAGCTTGTGTGGCTGAGTGACCAGTACTAACATAAAATCCTGTTTTAACCCAACCTCTCTGACCCATTTCCCTCACTAGTCCTAGGACTGTCCCTCCTGATTCATTGGCAAATAAAACAGAGGGTTGGCCCTAGCTTGTTTGTCTCAGTGGCTAGAGCATCAGCCTGCGGACTAAAGGGCCCTGGATTCTAGTCCGGTCAGGGGAACACATGCCTGGGTTGCAGGCTCGATCACCAGTAGGGGATGTGCAGGAGGCAGCCGATCAGATTTTCTCATCGTTGATGTTTGTCTCCCTCTCCCTCTCTCTGAAATCGATATATTTAAAATAAAAATTAAGAGGCCTGTAAAATTGTTTTGCCCTTGTCTATGGGGTGGAGGGCAATAGTGCAGCTGTGACTAAGAACTGACTCCCTTCCTCCTACTCCTCTAGACCTTGACAAAAGCTACAGAAAACTTTGCTAGGTGCTGCTGTCATTGCAAGCCTGTAGAGACAGCAGGGGGCTGGATTCTCCCTCATCCCAGTACCAGCACAGGGCTAAGGGAGTGTACTGCGTGCAAGGTGAGTCCAGGATTCTAATCTAACCTGTCCACATGACCCTAAGCAACAGCATCCCTCTTCTGGCCCTCTGTACTACAAGGTGGGCTTTCTGGAGGCCATCGATTCCTACAGGGACTAGTTCCTAACAAATGGGGAAGGTCACAGGGCTGTGAGTGGTCCCATCTAGAGGCAGCACTGTTGCTGGCCTCTGCTTGGTGTTGCCACTTAAGTTTCTGGACCCAGATTCAGAATGTGAGACCTGATAAAATTTAAGTGTTAATAGTAAACCGTAAATCCAAATGGAACACTCCTGCTATACCATGTGCAAGATGACTGTCCCTGGACCAGACAGGTCAAGTAGCCCCTTAATTTACTCTCCCATCTCCTGACATCCTTGGGAGGCCATAGACTGCCACCAAGCACTCGAACTGGTGCAATTTCCATGGACAGAATAGGTTTCCACCTTGATTCTCTAATGAGAGCACATGTACCAAGGCCAGGCCGATTCTGGTGAGGCAGGCCGCATCCATGGGAACGCAAGCCCCTGGGGATCATTCTGGGTGCTTTGCTACCCAAGTTCCCAGAGGAAAGAACAGGGTGCACCCACAGGGATGTGGCCTTTTCCTCCCAAAACAAAATCAGCGTGTAGAGTCTTTGGATGGGGCTAGATCCCACTCTTATTAGCCAAGCCTTGTTCCTCTAAAAAACACAACTGCGGCCAGCACACTCTTTTAGACAAAAAGCACTTTATTTAACAAAAAGGAAAAAGAAAAAAATGGGGTAGGGAAAGAAGTTATAGGAAAGTACAACGTGCCTGCTGAAACTATTTTATATTTGTTTTCTTAAAAAAAAAAAAAAAAGAAAGAAAAACCAACAAAAAAACACAACACAAAGCTTGTGATTTCCAATCACCGTTACCAGGCTTTACAACATCTATGAAGAACAAACATCTGCTTCAAAGTTCTATGGGGGCAGGTAGGGAACAGAGAAAGAGAGACGGCACCCAGCAGACATGGGGAGGTTTTGTTATCATTTATTTGTGAAGTTAAAAACGAGCGATAAAAAGTAAAAACTGCCATACAATTTTTTTTTGTTTGTTTTGTTCTCAATTTGTTTTCAGTTTCAATGTCCTCTTGAACAGATGAAACATGACAGACCAATCCTGGGAGAAGGAACGCGGGAGGGGAGGGCTGCGAGAAGCGAGCTAGGGCAGGAGGAGGAGCGAGAGGAGCAGGGAGGCTGAGGGGCTGGACTGATGTAGGGCAGGGGGTGTGTGTGTGGGGTTCCCTGCAATATCAATACCTGGTCCAAGGAATGTTCCAACTCTAACTAAAAAAAAAAAAAAAAAAAAAAAAAAAAAGCAAGTGACTTTTTTTTCCTTTTTAAAAGTTTATTTTAAAAACATGAAGAGGGCCAAGGGTGACAGGGGAGAAAATAAGTTGTTTTCCTTGAAAGAAGCAGTTTTAGGGAAGACTGGGGGGTGGGGTATAGAGATTTTATATATATATATATATATATATAATTTTATAGGTTTTGTTTCACTTACTGTGTTTCTTATTAAAAAAAAATTTTTTTGGCAGAGATTTAATTCTCGCTATCTTCTATGGCTGGCTCAACATGAAGGATCCCAATTTTGAAAGAAAAGAAAGGATGTGAGACACAGAATGAACGAGAGAGTGAGAGCCGGGCATGACCTCCAAGCCACTCAGAGAGGGCTCCCCTGCACCCTGCCCCCATGTCAGCCATCGCTCTCTCGCCTAACAAATGGAGGGGGGGAAAAAAATCAAAAACCAAAATATAAGCCCCAAACAAAACAAACAAAAGAATTTTCACAGATGAAGAAGTTCACATTCATTCGATTCATTGAGCCTGCGGAGAGGGAAGAGATAGGAATTGGTCACTACGGGAAGGGGCAGGCAGAGGTGGAAGATGGGGAAGGAAGAGGGCCAGGAAGCCCCTCTCCAGCCAGTGGCTAGCAGGATGTGTCTGAACTGTCTCTAGTCAAGTGCTCCAGGGACTCAGCTGAAGTCAGACTGGCTCCTTGATGGAGGAGGAGAAAGAGCAACACAAAGGCAAGAAGGAGAGAAGCAGGGGCCAAGGAAGAAAGAGAAGCAAAGTCAGGGTCTGCAAGAAGGTGGTGGGTGGCTCCCGGCGCATCACAACATGAACAGTCTCAGAGATCACGGTGTCCCCACAACACCCCTGTGAGGTAGGTTGGAACGTGGCAGCGATCATCATGCCCACTTCACAGACAAGACCGGGACACAGACACGGGCGTGAGAGCAGAGGCCGAGCCCAGGGCCGATCCCCTTTGCAGGCTCCCTGCGTCCCTGCTGGAGCCAGGACCACCCCACGCTGGGGCTGCCTGCAAACAGTCACTTGGACACCGTCGGGGAGAAGATCGTGGGTTTAAAAACAAAAAGAACAAAAGCCAAAAAAGTAATGCAGAAGGAAAAATATCCATTTTCTTCCCAAGTGGCCAGATTTTGAGTAGCAGCCAGGATGGTGACCAAAGTGCAGTGCCCGGGCTGCCCCACCCCCAGGACTACCCACCAGTTCAACAGTTCCACCTTTTATCCGTCTCGCACTCTCCCCCAGCATCACGACAGCATTACACAGGAACAAGCGAGCCGGCGGAGGGAGGCCTCTTCTTTAACCTCTGGACCCAGCGCACACTTCCCCTGGCTCATGGGGACTCCCGGAGACCTCCAGCCACGCGGCCCCCGCTGCAGGCATCAAGGACACACCCCGCAGGGGAAGGGATTTCCGGCGCTACCCACTAAGGCAGGATGGACGGTGGCTGGGGGTTGGAAGGAAAAAGGAGGAGGAGGAGGGTGGCAATTCCCACTTGCCTGCTGCTGTCCCTGCTGTGTGGGTGGAGGCTGGGGGCCCCCAGGACCGGGAGTCTGTCCGTAGTAAGCGGCTTGCTGTCGGTAGTATTCAGCCCAGGCAGCACTATAGTCTGGCTGAGAGCCTGGGGGAGCTCCTGGACCCCCTCCAGTGGCCACTTGAGCTGTCGGGGAGAAGAGGGTGAGTGGGGCTGGGCAAGAGTGGGCCTGGCCCTGCCTTGCCTCAGGCCCCACCAGTTCAGCCTGCTTTAAAAAAAAATTATGTTGAAGTACAACTTATATACAATATTATATTGGTTTCGAGTATAGAAGTAATTCGCCATTTAAATTCCTTAGGATGTGATCACCATACTAAGTCATGGTACAAATTCATAATGACTACGTTCCCTATACTGTACTTGCATCACTGTGACTTTTTGTATAACTCACCCTGCTTCTTGTAGTACTCCTCCCAGGCCTTTGTGTAGTCCTGCTGTGGGGGAGCTCCAGGCTGCTGCGGCTGCTGGCCTGCAGGAGGCGGCACCAAGGTCAGAGGACCCCTCTTCCGCCCCTCTGGCCGATTTGAGCCCATGTAGTAGCCCACACACTCACCAATCTTTTTGTAATACTCTTCCCAGGCCTTCGTGTAGTCTGACTGGCCAGCAGGTGGGGGCTGTGGGGGCTCGCCCTGGGTAGGTGGGGCTGCGGGTGCAGGAGCGGGGCCGGGCACGGGGCCTGGGGGTTGCTGGTAGTAGTGTGAGTAGTAGGCGGCCCAGGCTGCATTGGGGTCTGCGGCGGCTGCGGCGGCTTTATCTGCAAGAGGAGGGCAGTGCAGGCTGAGGGTTAACACAGAAAGCCAATCCTGGGCCCAAACCCCGCGCTGCCCCTCAAATGGGTAGCCTTACTTACTCGGGTCATGAGGAGCAGGTGGTTGCCACTGGGGGTAGGTATTGCCCCATCCCTGGGGTGGGTACTGGTGAGGAGGGGGACCACCGGCACTGTAGGATGAGAAAGATGGGGAACACATGAGCAGGGGCCGCTCCTTTGCAGGGTAGGGGTGGCTAGTAGGAAGAAAGCCCAAGGAAAGATAGACAACTAAATGCACATGATCCAGGCTATGAAATAAAGTATCACAAAATCAACATGCACAGATTTATGCATGAGGTGAAGACCAAGGTCAACACCTATTGCTTATAAAAGATGGTGTCTATGAAACAAAGCTGGAACAGATCGTGTTTGGGCCGGAAGAATCATTGCTTCTGAAAGATGAGGACGGACCTCTTGGAGGTAAATGGAAACAGGGCCCATCACTTTTCTTGCCAGCATAGACACCCATGTCACAAATCCCAGGCAGCTGAAGAGTACTCACTGAGGGGGAGCCCCTGGTGGCCCCTGATTGAAGGGCCCAGGATTGAAGGGCCCCATGGGGCCTGCAGGGCCTGGTCCTCCTGGGCCTGGTCCGACTGGACAGAGGGGACCCTGGAAGGAGAATGTGACAAGGTCAGCGGGTGGGAGTCAGGAGCTAGGCCTAGGCCCCCAGAGCCCTCCACGAGCCCACCTCAATCTTCTCCTCGATGAGCTGCTTGGCGTGATCAATCTGCTGGGGCGAGCCCCGGATAATAAACAGTTTAAAGTTGGGGTCCCCATTGGGCGGCAATTGCCGGGAGATCTCTACAAAGGCGCCGGTCTGCTGGTTTATGGCTTTCACGTTCTCGCCACCTGCAGGGAACATAGGCAGTGAAGGGAGGGTGGGAGGAAAGAGTGGGTGAGGGACAAAAGGCAGGGAGAGGCCTCCTCACCTCGGCCGATGACTAGCCCACACTTGTGAGTGGGGATGGAGAAGGTCATCTCCCCACCAGGCGGGCCCCAGTTGCCTTGGCCCCTTCCTCGGCCACGACCCCCTGGGGGCATGCCAGGACCCCCTGGAGGACCTGGGGGACCACTCTGCAAGACAGGGAGATGGAGAAATGTAGGAACCAGGCCCATCCTCTGCCCCCACCAGCTTGCCTCACCTACCCCATGCCACCTACCCTAAGGCTCTGGAGAAGGTCATTGATAATCCGCGCCGCATGCTCGCATCGGTCTGGGGGCCCCATTATGTGAGCTATCTTCTCGGGACCTGTCCCATCATCTGAGGCCAGCATCCAGAGAGTGGAGACACGATTTAAAAGAGAAGCACAACTCCAAACCACCACACCTTCTCAGGGCAGTACTGTGCCAAGCTAGGTGTCTGAGACATCTCAGACTCAGTGCCGCTCGCCTCACTCCACGTACTCAGGAGTGAGAAAGGAGGCAGGCAGGCCCCATGTCCCCAGAGAAGAAAACTGACCAGCTGGGCAGGGAGGTAGCTGAGGCTTCTTTCTGTAATTAGAACCCCCAGAACTAACGGATGCATTTTATAGAACAAAGAACAAATTTCTGAAAAGCAGGAAAGGGTTCCTCCACCCCACAGACCTGCCATCAGGCTCTCATAGGCTTGGCAAAAGCCCAGAGTTGGGTCAATGATTTGATCCAGCCCACAGTGCCCAAGTTACCCAGGCTGCCTTGTTGAGATAGGCTACTGGTGGGTGAGAGGGATGAGATATATTTGATAGCAGAGGAAAACGCAGAAAGTCTGCCCATCACCAACTCTCTCAACAGACTGTCCCACAGAGAAGTAAAGAGGAACAGCATGCTAACCATGGTGCCAAGCTGCCCACAGTAGACACTCAGGTTGATCTTAAGAGGACAGCACTGGCTTACACATCCTCACGACTTGGCCCTGACCTTGTTTATTTATTTTTTTTCATTATTATTTTTAAAAAATATATTTTATTGATTTTTTATAGAGAAGAGAGAGAGGAATAGTTAGAAACATCAGATGAGAGAGAATCATCGATCAGCTGCCTCTTGCAACCCCCCACTGAGGATGTGCCCGCAACCAAGGCACATGCCCTTGACCGGAATTGAACCTGGGACCTTTCAGTCCACAGGCCGCTGCTCTATCCACTAAGCCAAACTGATTTTGGCGGCCCTGACCTTGTTTAAACTGGATCCGCACACCGGCATCATTCTGGATCTTCTTAATCATCTCTCCACTACGGCCAATGACCACGCCAACAGAATGTCTAGGCACTGGCACCTGAGGGAGATGCAGAGAGAGGGTCAGCCCCCACAGCTGAGAGGGAGATGCAGAGAGAGGGTCAGCCCCCACAGAGTTCTGTCCCCACAGCTTTGCTGCCCACTGGACATAAGGAGCTCCCCCCATCCCCCATAGCCCTCCATCTTCTGGGGGAAGCCCGCACTCACATCAATGCCCCCGCCAATCCGGGATCCATACTCATTCCGGTCCCCAAAGCCGCCCTGGTCTCGCTCCCGAAGGATGTCCATCACCATCTCACAGGCTTGCTGAAAAGACACAGGGCATGGTGCACATGGCAAGCCCTGCTGCCCCACTGCACCCCCAGCCTCCCGTAAACCAAGGGGTCACAGGCTTAAGCTAAGGACTGACACACAGATGCTGAGCTCTGTATTTGCCACCCTGAGAGGCAGGCATGGCCATCAACTCCATTTTCCAGATGAGAAAATGGAGGATCGGTTAGGACACTTGCTCATGTACAAACCATTGTTGAAGGGAGAATTCAACACAAGAACATGAACCCTGGGATGACTTCAAAGCCAATGCTTTTGTAAACCTCTCCACTTTTATTCAAATCTCCAGACAGCCCACCAGCTCTCCCTTCTTTAAAACCCACTATCACCATCATCGCAGGGCATACTCACCTGCACTTTGTAAGGATCCCCAATGATCCGAAGGGGCTTGTCCACATTTGTATTTTGGGAACCATCTTGAATTAAAATCATCTTTACTCCAGCACGTTCCTTTAAAACCAATATCGAGGCGGAGATAAGAGATCAACCGAAGGACTTGTATGCATGCATGCATATAAAGCATAACCAATAGACGAAAAACTCTGGGAAGGAAGGGCATGTATGGGAGTGGGGGTGGGTGGGGATTGGTAAGGTATGTGCACATATAATACCTTGATAAAACAAAATGAGAAAAAACAAAACAAAAACCAATATCGACTGTCAGCGTAGGACTTGCAAATAACTTTCTGGCGACCAGTGCATTTGGGACAGGGTCTATGATCAAAAAGGATAAAAGACTAGGAAAGCAGCTGGGGATGGGGGTGGTGTGCAGACCAGATACAGAATGGAAACTTTGAGATGAAAGGAACCTCTGTCTCCACTTCCTCACCTGTAGCTGTTTAATGGTCTCCCCGCCTTTCCCGATGACAAGGCCAGCCTTCCCTGCAGGGATCATAATCTCTTGCACTGTGCCATTCTGGCCCCCGTTGGCATTGTCATGGAACTGTCCTGGGGGGCCCCCACGACCCCGGGAGACGATGTCATCCAGCATCATCTTTGCTTTCCTGGGAAGGGGAAGAATGGGGTGCTGTCACTTGAAAGAGTACTGGCCTGGCGACCCCCCCACCCACCCAAGCTCAAAGCAAAGAAGGTGACTCCCAACGCATGCATTTGACAGATGATGAGGAAGAGAGTACTACAGTCCCTGGGTCTAGGCTGCAAGGACATGGTGTGGGAGTCACCCCCAATTTTCAAAGGGATCAAGAGGATTTCTGCCCACTCCCATCACAATGACAGGCCCAGCCAGGCACTTACTGGACAGATTCTGGGGCTCCTGTCAAGGACACACTGCGCTCAGGGAGGCCACCACTGTCTGGAGAGAAGAGGAGATAGGGTCAGTGCCTTTCCAGACCTGCCGATCCTGGAAAGGCTTATAGTGGAGATGAGAAAACTTCCAGAACCACCACCAGCCACTTTTGCCACCATTCAACAGCCTGACAAATCAATTTACCTTCCCAAACACCTGGGAGGCTGCCCTATGCAAGGCCAAGGTCAGGATGCTTCAAGTCCAACAAGGGAGACAAAACTTTTAGGGAAAAAGATGAGGTAGAAGGAGAGGCAGGTTCTGGAAGGTCCAAACCCTAGGCCATTCTTGCCACCAATAATGATCACATGCACACCGTATAGTCAACAAACTCCACTCTGCTAGAACAAGGCCTCTGAAGCAGAGACCTATAGAGGAGCAGGCAGAATTGGGATTCAAACCCAGGCCCACTCTCAAAGCTTTTCTTTCTAATGCACTTTCCTTGTCTCCCATATACCCTTTAGTTTCTACTAGATGTTTATTTTAGGTGGCAGCTTAACATAATGTTTCACCTGGAATAAGGCACCCTGTGTTCAACTCTAGATCTTCCCCTTCAGCTCTTCCCCAACCCAGAAAATGAAAACAAAAGTCACAGCTACACCCTGTGGTGCTCTAAAGTGGAGATACTTTACTGAGCCTGGCACATAGAAGACACTCAATAAATAATATAAACAAATATGTTTCATATCTATCAGTCAAGTTAAAAGTGAGAGGAATACTAAAGTGCAAAGAGTCCAGCCCCTGCATTCATTCTGGCGCAAAACTGGCTCACTCATACCTGGAGAGATCTGGACTTTGCAGCCTGAATCTTGCTGGATTTTATTAATCTGTTCACCTCCTCTGCCAATGACTAGGTGGTGAAGAAAGGAGAAAAGTTAGTTACTTTAAAATGGAATAAAAAAGAAAAAAAAAAAAAAAGCAGAGCTGACGAAAGGAGCCAGCACCAAGTAAATGAGGTGTGGAGGGGCCACGTGAATATTCAAAAGGGGCGATGACCGTTCTTCCAGTCCAGAAAGAACACGTTAACAGGGGAAACCCTTTCAGACCAGAGGGTTCTGGGTTGCCAGGGGCTTCCAGGACACTGTCCCAGGGTGGGGCTGTGGATATAATGGATACTCCAGAGCATAGTGACCCACACTCACTTAGTCCTACCATGCCGTCTGGGACCCTGTACTCCTCTGTCATTGATGTCCTGCAAAGAGACAATGAAGGTCAGCCTCAAATGGGAAAGCAAAGGGTCTCCCAGAGAAAAGGGCCCCCGATGTTTCTGGCCTCTGACCCTGCTTCCCATGATGGGACCAAGACCTCAAATGCCTATGCAAAAATCTATCAGCACAAGGCTGGGATCTCTCACCCCACAGCAGGTCACTCCATTTCTTGAGGCCAAGTTTCCCCGCCCGGGCCATGAAAGGCCTGTTCTAAGGCAGAGCGGCCCCTGGACCAGTGCTGTCCCTAACTCAGGGGAGAATGAGCACCTGGACACTTTTATAGCAATCTGATAAAAGTTGATTAATAACCGTTGACTTTAAAAACAAACAAACAAATAAAGGAGGAATTTCGCACCTTTTAAATTTCATTTCCTAGCAAATCATTTTTTTTTTTTTTGTATTTTATAAAAATGTTGGCCCACTAAAAAAAATAAAAAGAAATAATGTGGTCCCACACAAAGGATTCTATGTCAGATTCATTGAAGTCATGGGGTGGGTTGGGGAGGAAATAAGGTAAGAACTCCCTCCCCCCCATCAGCTCTCAGGGAATAAGCACTTGCAGAGGATGGATGAGAAAACCAGTCTTTTCTAGGAAGACAGATCTTTGTGCTTCTGGAGAGTTCCCACTCCAACAAAGGAAGCACCATGATGTAGAAATCGCCATTCTGTCATTACAGTGAAATGCCACAACCCTCGCCTACCTCCAGCCTTGAAGACAGGTTAAGTACAGGGATAAAGGCAGCACATCCTACCTCTCAGTCCACTGGTTGGTGGACCAGCCCTAAATGGTGCAGGGCTCCCAGAGAGAGTTCTCCCTCAAGACAGTAAGAAAGGCCAGAGACAGCAGACAGACAAACATTTTCTCCAAATCACAACTCACCTGGGGGGAGGATGGATGGGTCCAAGTTGAGAACTGATGGCTACAGAGAGAAAATACAAAGGAAAGATTGGCATGGCTTCTCTCTGGAACCCAGAACACCACTGACCCCAGGTGCTTCTACCTACATGGGAGTGACTAACACTATTCCAGTCTAAGCCCTCCTGAGCACTGGAGCATCATGGATCCTGCTCACAACAGCACAGGCACTGGGCATTTCCACCTCAGTTTCCAGGTGCTATAGGAACCCCAAAGATCATGAATCCCAGATGAAGAACACTTAGAGCCTCCATAAAGGACAGGTGCGCAGTCCCCCCAGCTCCAAACAACCTCCTAAGACCCTGAAGTTGCCCTCTGCCTGCATTACCCAACGACTTACAGTCTGCCTGAGAGGCCAGTTTCTTGCTCTCCGGCTGGTCTGTGAAAGAGAGAGGATGTCAGATGTAGCACCCACCCACTCATCCACAGCCTCCTTACATCTGATGCTGGTGTCACACATCCTGGCAAACTATCCCCTTTTGCTACCCACCAAAATCAGAGCAGAGACAGGAGAGACCAATCGCTAAGTCAAGCCAGACTTCATCAATCCTGTCACCAGCGCTAAGAATAAGAGTAATAAAGCCCTTGATTACAGGGAAACAATGATAGTGGCATCTGAATCCTTCCAGCAAAGGCTCAGACCTGCTTGGGCAGCAGGGTTCTGATAAAAAGAAGTTGCTGGCCACCCAGGGCAGCCCCGCTTTACTTATGTGGGGCCTCAATAACAGTACCAGCATTTCCCCAGCCAACCAGAAGGGGAGAAACAATCTTGAGAACTTACAACTTGGACCCAGCCAGTCAACCTGCTCTTCTCTCAGCCACCTGATACCTCAGGAGGGTGGCCCAACAAAAAGAATGAACAAAGCTGGGATTGCTGAGGTTTTAAAAGACTGAGCAGCAGCAGGCTGCCCTCCCCCCCACTCTGAACCACATTCAAACAAAGGCACCTCACTCTCTATCCTCCTTCCCAGCAAGTAGTTACCTCCATCTTCCAACTGCCTCTTTTGGCCCCCAAAACCAAAATCAGGAGTGCTGTTATTCACTGTTGTAGCAGCGTCGCCTCCAATTTTGGCTGCGATCTAGAAATGAAGTCGTAAGCAAAGAAGAATTAGCACCAAAAAGCAACCTCCGTGGGGCTCAGATCAACTTTTCGGAATCTCTCCTGTTCTCTGGTCTTGCTGTTTGGACCGAGAGTCAGGTTCCCTCTGATTTAGGGAAGAACTTGATGGTTAAGACATTCCAGAAGGAATTTTCACCCAAGGCCTCAGAGTTCAACAGTTAACTCCTTTCTCCATGGGTTTGGTCCTGAATTGTTTGTGGCCAGACTGTAACCCACACTAACTTGTTCTGGGGGGTAAAGGAACAGAAGCTCAGTGCCATTGAGGGTCCTCAGGTCATCTCCACAATGTAGCTGAGTTCTTGGGGGATGCTGAAGAGTATTATCTTCCTCACTCTCAGAACCTTAGCATTTGTGAAACATATCTCAGGGAATTTTTTGCTTCAAGGCATCTGAAATCTTCATTTAAGGAAAACAAAAGACCGTTTTGGAGCACATGCTACAATTTAGCCACAGGAAGAGCAACTTCAAATAAACCCCTATGCAACAAACCTAACACCAGATTCTGTTTGTGGAAGTATTACAAGTTTTCCAAAGAAACACAAACCAAAAACTAAGTATCTATCTTTTCACTTCTCAACTATTTAACACTTTTTGAGCCAAAGCTTTTGGGCTGTCCAGTTAGGGGCCTTAACCCACCCCAACAGACAGCACACAGCACCAACTCCCCAAGTTACAGCTACTCAATCAAGACAGCTCAGTGGGCAAGCAGACGTAAGTGCACATTAAAACACTGAAGTGAGAAAGCCTCAGAGCACACCGGGCGGAGCTGGGCGGTCACCTAGCGGGGACCTCCTACCCAGCCCTGGAGGCATTGGAATTACCCGGGGCTGGGGTCTGGCTTCCGGAAAGGGTGGCAAAGTCTATGGGCCTCCTGCTCGCCAGGCTCTGGGGAGGTTAGTCCTGCCAGCATGTGTCACTTCCATGTTGTCATCAAGACTCAAAAAAGTGGTTGGGATTCTCCTCTCTTTCTCAAAAATATATAGACCACGCTTTCAAGCAACCGGAAGATCAAAAAGAGTCAGCTCCTATGCCCAGCCTCCCCATTTCACTTAAGTGCTTCAGTGAAAGCTCGGGCAGCAAAAGGGTCCCCTTTCCACACTCAAGAGGAAGGACTACTTTTGCCCAAAGTCCCTTCTTCCTGGGGAGCGGGCTGAAACGGGGCTGGGTTGAGGGCAAACAGTTCTGTGCCCTGACGGGGAGGTGGGGGCCAAGTAAGACCCACCCGGGAAGGTGGACCCTTTCCTTCCACAACAGTGGAGCATGCTTTCGCGTACCCTAAGGCGGGGCAGAGGTATCCCCAGCACTCGGGGGCCCCTGCACACCCAGGGACCGCTCTTGGGAATCCCCGGACGCCCCTTCCCCCTGCAAGGGTCACCCGTGGGGGGACCCCACTCCAGGCGCGCGGGGTGGCCCAGGCCCCAGCTTACTCGCGACCCTGTGCGCGCGCACGTGACCCCGCCCCCTCCCCCGCCGGAGCGCGCGCCCCTCAGGCCCGCGGCCACCTCACCTGGCGGGCCCGCTGCACGGCGTCGGCGAAGGCGTCCTTGCGAATTCCCGGGCCACCTCCGCCTGAGGACTGCGAAGGGCCCCCGGACGACCCTCCGCCCGGGCCCCCGCCGCCTCGGTCCCCTGCGCCTGGCGGGCCCGGTGGAGGGCCTCCCCCGGCGCCTCCGGACCCCCCGCCTCCGCCGGTGGTCGGCGGCGGCCCCGGCGGAGGTCCTCCCGTGCTGTAGTCCGACATGGCGCGGCGGGGCTGGGCCTGGCGCGGCTGCTGAAGCTGAGGAGGAGGAGGCGGTGGCAGCAGCAGCGGCGGCGGCTCAACGCGGGAACAAGGCCTCGCTCTACACGGCCGCAGAGCACTCTGGGAACCGAGCGGCTGGGAAGACGATGGGGGGGGCTTCCCCCTCCCGCCGCCGTGACAGACGGCAGGATCGAGCCAATAGGAAGTACCCGCCGCTCCCCAGACACCAATCAAGAGCTCTGTAGTCAAGCGACCAATCGGAGTGCTGCGAAAGGCACTGGGTAGGAGGCGCTGTGTGACTGACAGCTCTCGGAGGCAATGCGCTGCTGGCTGCCGGCACTAGGTTGGCCCAATGAAGTGGAGTTCCAGAATCGCTGGGCGGCTTCAGAACCGATTGACCGCTCGGAAGAGTCAAGTTTACAGGAAGGAGGAGTCTAGCAAATTGATCCTTTGAACACAAACCAATAAGTACACGCGGAAGGCGGTCCTGGTAAAGATTGGCAGTCAATTTAATCCAATCCCTTACGAGTTCTGGGTAATGCGCTTGGGTTTGGACTGGCTTTTCATGTTAACCATAATCCTTTTCCAGCTTTGACTTCTAAGCCAATGGTTGAGAGACGGGGGCAGGTGTTAGGTGATTGACATCGCTCCACACAAATGGCAATGAAGTGCCCCCGTATTAGTGGGAACCAGTGGAATCGCAGCAGTATTGGGGCGGAGCCTGCTACCAGATGGCGAGAGGGGATTAGTGGAAGGGGGAATGAGTGGCAGCGTACATACGCAATAGCGACCGGCTGCCGGCATTCGGGCCTGACGTCAGGATTAGCGCCTGGGAGACTGGGTAGGCCTAGCACGTGGTTTGCTTGAGGCCTTGGAGGTAGGCTGCTTCTGTAGTTGAAGTGGCCTGAGAGCAGGGGGAAACTCAGGGATTCCCCTGGAACCCCATCTCCTTTCTCCACCCAGGATTCTAGAAGCCCTTCTCTTCCAGGATTCATGGAACCAGCTCTCCTCCTGAGCTAACGGATTTTGGGCCATTGTTCCCTCCCAGCACTGAGGGACCCCAGACCCTAATTCCATACCCCACATCTGCCTCCCACCATGTCCCAGGATCATCCATCTTTCCCATTCAGGACTGAGAGGTCTGAGGTATCCAGATCCGCTCGGTGACTCATGGAGTGCAGATACTCAGCCCCTCTCTTGGACCCAAGTATTTAGGTCCCCAGCTCCCCTCCTCAACCCAGATATACCAGACATGTCTAGCAGAAACCATCACTTTATTCCGGGTTTGACTCCCATGGTCACCATTTCGCCCTGGAACCAGGACAGACCACTATGAGCCAAACTGGAGTCCATAATAGCTTCAGGCTGCATCCTGGAGAGCATCTTCTGACCCAGACCCCCAGGCTGCTTTTCCTGAAAAATAACTTCCCTGTGGCCGGAGCCTGGAGAGCTCTTTGGGGCCAGGGGACATTGGATCCTCCTGCCCATTTCTGCCTAGAGTGTGTGGCTTAGCTCATTGTCTATATACCCAGGCTCTTCTTCATGGCTTCGTACACCACATAGCTGATGCCACCTGCCGGCAGCACCTTCAGTAATGTGGGGGTCATACCTCGGTATAGCCCTGGCCAGCCCTGCTGGGTCAGGATCCGCTGGAAGACTTCACACATGGTGGGGTTTGAACCCTCCACAGTGTCTGCAGGGACAGGAACAATCTCAGGGCCTCAGAGATAAGCTGTTCTCCGTGGGAGTCTGGGGGTGGGGGAAGGGGAGGGGGCAGGAATGTCGGGGGATGGGAAGTGGAGCCAAAAGTAGAGGTTTGGGGGGCAGTTGGAAAGAAGACTTAGAGAAAATAGATCAGTTTGGGGGAGCAATTTGGGTAGGAATTTTCAGATTTCCTTTTTGGAAACATTCAAGCCTATTTGGGAGGGAACTTCTAAGATCTAGAGATTTTGGGGAGTGTGCTCAGGAATAGTTTGGGGAGATTTTTTCAAGGTGAAGGGGGTTGGCCAAGGACCCATTGGATGTTTAAGAGTTCATTTGAGATAATCACATTTGAGAAGTTTCCATGGTGTGGGGAAGTGGTTATGAATTTTGGGACATCTAAGGGTCAGATTTGGTGAATTTAGGAACTACTTTAACTTTTGGAGCCAATTGAGGACTAGATCTGACTTGGAGAAATTAGGAGGTCATTTGGGAGAAGTAGATCTTGAGGTCAGTATGGGTCACATATATCTGAGGATGGGGGAAGAGCTTGTGATAATCATTTGGAAGATGGGATGTTAATTTTAGTGATTTGTAGTGGTAATTTGAGGGCTGGGATCAGATTTGGAGGTGAGTGTAAAGTCTTGGTGGGTTCAGGGGTCAGTGAAGTTGGCCAAGATCAGATATGGGAATTTTGGGATGTGAGAAAGTTCAGAGGGTTGGTGAAGGACCAAGGGGGGAGAGCCATACACAGTGGCCACTAGGGCCAGGCTGACCTTGAGCCTGCATCCTGGTGCGCACCAAAGTCAGTGGGTAACTGGCCATCTGACCACAGGTTGTGGACAGCGTCACTGACATGAGACTGACCAGGCCACTAGGCTCCGCCATGTCTCTGCCTGACTTCAGCCAGAAATACCTGAGTATCTGCAAGAGAAAGGGGGACAGGAGGAAGCTTGCTAGGGCCTGGGTTCACCCCTGCCACCCTCTCTGAGGGGCCCATACCTCATAGACAGCCAGGTCCGTACAGGCATAAGGGATGATGCCAAGCATGTTGGGCAGGTAACCACGGTAAAGGGCGCGGGTGCCCTCCTGCTCCAGGATCTGCCTGGCACAATCCAGCAACCCCTTGTATTGGCCTGTTCGGCGCAGGGTCAGCCGAGTCTTCAGCACCTGGGGAAGGTAAGGAATGAGGCAGCTCATTTAATTTAATCCTCTCACTGACCCTCAGCAATGGCTATTGTCCCCATCTACAAGTGAGGAAACTGCTCAGGAATGTGCAAAGCTGGGTGTCAAACCCGGAGCTCCCTGTCCCATTCCTTGGCCTGTGTTTGCTCTCAACCCCGGGGTTCAGAAGTTCAAGTGCTGACAGAGGCCAAGAGGGGAAGGGAAGTGACATGAGCCAAGTGGGGTATGTGGCAGCTTGCACTTAGCACCAGCGAAACGTAGCGCCATGGGAGTGCAGGTGGCCAGATCTGCCAATTTTCTGAAAGAGCCAGAAATAGGAATTTTTATGAAATGCCCCAACATAAAAATATTGGCAACTCTATAATTACGCAAATAACAACACCAAGTGTGGTAGGCAAAATTCTAAGGTGGTCCTCAAGGTTCATGCCTTCCCTACATTCTCCCCGACCTTGAATGTGGGGTAGACCTGTGAACACAATGAGTTATCACTCTCTTAATCCTGTTCCATGGTAATGGCAAAGATAACAGGATTTTGCAGATGTAATAAACACCTCTAAGCCGTTGACTTTATTTTTTTTTTTAATTTATTTTTTTAAATATATTTTTATTGATTTTGTACAGAGAGGAAGGGAGAGAGATAGAGAGTTAGAAACGTCGATGAGAGAGAGTCATCGATCGGCTGCCTCTTGCACACCCCCTACTGGGGATATGCCCGCAACCAAGGTACATGCCCTTGACCGGAATCGAACCCGGGTCCTTCAGTCCCCAAGCCAACGCTCTATCCATTGAGCCAAACCGGTTTCGGCTAAGCCGTTGACTTTAAATGAATCAGGAGAAATTGTCCTGGATGGCTCTGACCTAACCAGGCAGGTCTTTTAAAAGAGGCCTATCGCCCTGACTGGTTTGGCTCAGTGATCAGAGTGTCAGCCTGTGGACTGGACCAGGTTTGATTCTGGTCAAGGGCATGTACCTTGGTTGCGGGCACATCCCCAGTAGGGAATGTACAGGAGGCAGCTGATCGATGATTCTGTCTCATCAATGTTTCTAACTCTCTATCCCTCTCTCTTTCTCTCTGTAGAAAATCAATAAAATATATATATTTTAAAAATGTATCATTGGCAAATATGTTCTCCCATTCAATGGGCTCCCTTTTTATTTTGTTGATGATTTCCTTTGCTGTGCAAAAGCTTTTTTATTTTGATGTTGTCCCATTTGTTTATTTTCTTCTTAGTTTCCTTTGCCCTAGGACATGTATCGACAAATATATTGATATAAAAGTTGTTTTGAGATTTTTCTGCCTATGGTTTCTTCTAGAAGTTTATGGTTTCACAACTTACATTTAAATCTTTTATCCATTTTGAGTTTATTCTTGTATATGGTATAAGTTGGTGGTATAGTTTCATTTTTTTTTTTTTTTGCATGTATTTGTCCAATTTTCCCAACACAATTTATTGAAGAGACTGTCTTGACTCCATTGTATACTCTTGCTTCCTTTGTCAAATATTAATTGAGCACAATGGCTTGAGTCAATTTCTGGGGTGTCTGTTCTATTCCATTGATCTATATGCCTGTTCTTGTGCCAGTACCAAGCTGTTTTGATTATAGTGGATTTGTAGTATAACTTGATATCTGGTGTTGTGATCAAACTTTCTCAAGATTGCTGCAGCCATTCAGGATCTTTTTTGGTTCCATATAAATTTTGGAGTATTTGTTCTATGTCTCCTCATTTTGGCTATCTGTTTGGGTTTGTGACTATGTATTAGGTAGATCCTCTATGTCTCTCAATCTCTAGTATAGGACAGTGTCAAATGCTGTTTCTGCCTAAGTACATCAGGCAAAGACTCAAAGCCTCCAGAGATTGCCTCTGCCTACAGACTGGTAGGATTCTGACTTGAATTGCTCCAGGCAATTATCCTCAGGTATGGCAAGAGTGTTTTTCAACAGGATGGAGCAGTTGCTACTGCCTGGAGGCTAATTGTTATTTTTAGTCTCTTAAGTGGCCTCAGGGCAAAGCATTTTCCAATAGGGTGGGTCAACTGCCTTTCCCTAGGCAAGGCAAACATCTGTGGGAAATATGTCATCCACTGTGTGAGCGAATGACTCAGCCCAGGAAA